AGTTGGGGTATGTGAAAAGACAAATTCCTAATACAAGAAATTGTATATGGCCCATAAAGTGATCTCTCGCTCTCTCTCAATTCAGGGTTGCAGGGGAGCTGGAGCCTATCACAGCAAACAAAGATTGCAAGATAGAATGAGATGCCTCTCCATAGCAGGGCAGACATAGATATGCAGGCATCTACATCTGAAACCGTGGGATCTGAAACCAGAGGACCTGGAGGAAACCCCTACAAACATAGGAAGAACATACAAACTCCACGCAGACAGCACCTCAGGAATTGGACCCAGGGCCCTAGTGCTGAGGGCCAGTGATGCTAGCCACTGTGCCACCTGCAATATATTACACTCTGAGTAATACACATTTGTAAAATGAGAAACATGGTATAGAGAAAACAGTAATTATACATGCACTGATGAACTGCACTGAAAACTCTTCATTATCACAATTAAACAAGTGCACTATGCAAAAAGCCATTTTGGTTTTGTTCTTTGAACTTCAAAAGAAGTAAAATCAAAGAGCTTTCCAGTAAATTTCCTTTCCCATACATGCAAGTGCCTCAATTAGCCTTTTCCTTGACTTAGTCATTCATGGATTTGATGCTTGATTTTTGTGTTTTATTCAATGAATATCCATGAAGTGGACTCTTTAATATTATTGTTTTGCCATTACCAGGACATCTTCTCAACCCACTCCACAGTTTGGAATGAGTTGATCCTCCTACTAGAAAACCACTTTCTGGGTTTAAGTGCTTTGATGCCACAATGAATGGCTGACTTATTTTCCTAACCTCTTTTCAAAACGATCAGCGCCGCACTTAATGGTAACAGAGGGGCATGGGTTGGTCGGCAATTTATTATTTTAAAATCTAAGCTAAAACTGTAATTGTACACTGGCTCTTTCGCCTATTTTCTTTGCGACACAGATTTCCTCCCACAAGCAATAAGTCATAAGATGTTATCATTCTGCAATCTCTAGTATCATCATTCTGCTCTGGTTTCACAGCTCAGAAAGAGTCCACAGTAGCTGTATCAGTTTAAAGGACATCATTAGGCAATGATGGAAACCTATATGGGAGGCTAGAAGGAGGATTAGATAGACATTTCCCTTGGCAAAAGGGGTATTATTGTAACTTTCTTGAGCTAACTTTGAAAGAAAGATATAAGAGCAATTCATATAATGAGAAATAATATGGTATTTATCAGAATAAAACTGTAAATGTCATTTAGAGAGGAAAAGCCACAACAGTTCTTTTCCTTTGCCACCTTCAAATAGAATAATTTTTCCCTGCAAAGAACTCATGCACAGCAAAGAGTACTATTTAGCTAAATTAAATGACTTCTGACAATTAAGTAAGGCATCTTTAGGGCTGTGCTGCACATATAATAGATGCTTTGAGATAGTTTCCTTTAATCATTTTTCTATCCTTCCATTACAGGAAAACCGCTATTCCTTGATCGCAGTAACCTGGAGCCTATCCTGGAAGCACAGGGTGCAAATCAGGACTTGTCTCGGGCAGGACACCAATTCATCACAGGACACACACAAGCACACAGGAAGAATTCAGAAACACCTATTCAAACCACCCATGCATGACCTTTGGAGGTTAGAAGAAACCAGAGCATTGGAGTGAACAGGAAATATGACAGTAACATGCAGACTCCACATAGAAGGTACCTCTGCCTGGAATCAAACCCTGGTCCCATGAGCTGTGAGGTAGCAGTGCTGACCACCATACAACTGTGCCATATTTCCCAGGAGCAATACATTTCAATTCAAAGAGGGTTATGCCATGAAATTGCATAATTATGTTGTTGCATTTTATTATCTCTTGATATTTTTTTTTAACTCAGGTGGGTAGCACCTTAAGAAGGCTCCACGGCTGAAATGTTGTGTTCTCTTTCTTCTTTTTTTCAGCATGGAATAAACCTTTTACTTGTTTTTTTTTAACTGCTGTAAATGTAAGTTCAGTTCTTTTAAACTGCAGAGTGATAGGCAGATATGTTTCCATGCAATTCATTTTCACAAACATTTGATATCTTGGCACAAATACATAGGTCATAATAGACATCAGCAGGCACTAGAGAGAGCATGCTGGCCATGATTTTTTATATCACTGGCAGTTATATGCAGTATTCAGTCATGAGATTTAATGAAAACATAAAGATTTAAAATCTGAGTACTGCTCTGCTTCTGCCATTACACAGTTGTTTAAATAGCTAAGTGTCCCATACAATCACGATTTATCTATTTCTTTTGGGATTTAAAGGTTTTGAACTCATCAAGGTAAATCTTCCTATCTATTCTATTGTAAAACTAACTGATTAAATACCTGCCTACTGCAGATTATAATATATTGTAACGCTTACGGCCGACAAGCACTGTGTGTAAGAGCCGGAGAGACGCGGAAGTCCCGGGTTCGAGCCTCCAGTTGGGATGGGGCTGACCAGATGCGGCAAGGGCGCCCGCCTGAGCCCCCGTTGCGTTACAATATATTAAAACTCGTTATTGTCCAGTTTAAAAGTTAAGGGCTCTTGGAGTCAGGAAACAAAGATCTATAATGTTTGTAAAAACAAAAGAGTTCTGCTATAAACAGTGCTTATAGTGATCAATAATGTAAAGTATTAGTTCAGTTCAGTTAATCCACTGCTTCATTAATATTCAGGATAGTGAATAGTTGTTAATTGACATCAAGCTCTTTCTTTACCCAGTGTCATTAATTTAAGATAAAACAGTCTATACATTCCAATTTGAGCAGTTAGGTAACAAAAATATATTTTAACTTTCTTAAGGAATAACAAAATAAACAACACAAGGTTTATTAATTCTGTCATCCATGCACGAGTGATCTTGTGTGTGAAGAGTATAAATATAACATCACAAATGCTTATACAAATATGAAATTGAAACTAAAAAAAAACTCAAACCTTGTTAATGGTTCCGTTATACTGAGGTCACAAATTTACAACTGCTGTACTTCCCCCTGACTACAAACATGCACTGTGAATGTGGCTGGCTGCGGATTTCTGTACGGAAAAAAAACAGCCTCAGAACGGTCTTCTTATGAATTAGCGCCCCCTACTGATCATTTGTTAATATAGAATTTACTTCAATACGACCTTGGGACCTTCCCTACCATTACAACGGTGTTTTCGGCTTTCCATTCACGCTCTCTTAAATAAATTTTATTTGAGACTTTATTTGAAGTTTAGCTCAATGTAATGTCAACTGTTTTAGCTATAAAATAAGACATGATTAGAAATTATCAGGAACCTTGAGATGCAACACTATGTTTCTTACCTTTAAGATTACTAAGTGACCTGTTGACATTTAATGAGTATATACAGTATATCACTAAGAACGCTTATCAGGACAGTGTCAACACAGGTGTCACCCCATTTCTTTACCTCAATAAACCATAACCAATTCATTATGTAGAAAACTACAGAGGAACAAGTTTAGTGATCTGCCTGCTTCATTTCTTAGAAATATAAAACGACCACAAATAACTAGGCACGTGTTAAAGTAAAACAGCTGATTCATTGATTAATTTAAGATTTCAAACATTTTAATTAACAATAAACAGAACATAAACCAAATGACATGGGACTCCTCTAAGGTTCATAGTGAAAAACAGTGCATCAGAACAATGCTTTTAGAATAACAAATCATTTCCATGCAACAAGGAATGTGCAACTTTTTTTTAAAGAAAAGCTTCCAGCTTCCAGTTTTTAAATACCACAGAATTACCCTTGCCATAGCTCTTCAGCCATGCAGCATGACGTTTTGTGAAAACCCATTTAATGTGAAAAGATTAAACTCCCCTTACTGAGGAAGTCACTTTTAATTTGATGAATAAGCAGTTACATGTCTTATCATAAATATCCCTCTCCGAGCAACCTGCGGCTTCACTTTAAATTCCTCTTTCTCATCAGAAAAGAGGTTCTTTTACCCCCCTGTGAGGCTGAAAAATTAGGCGAAGCTGCTGGTACATATAATTAAAACAACAGATATAAACATAAGTTCTCTAGATACAATGGGCCTTGATGTGCATTATGGCTTGTATTGAATTTAAATTGCTGATAGCAAATTACATGCATGCCACTTAATTGGGATTGTTACAGTTTTCTGATGTCTATCCAATGGCAAGCTGCCACAAATAATTGTTCTGGAATCTGTCGGTGAAGCTTGGTCAAACCTGTATTTTCATCAAATCGTGGGCTCGTATCTTCTGACTTTTGTTCAGGTTGATAATGGGTTTGAGAATGCGTACAGCAGTAGCTCTCAATCCCTGTCTGGGAGGAACTCAGATCTGTAAACTAATCATTGGCTTAGTTTGGGCAATTTAACAGATGTTCCCAAGTTTAAAGAGACCTAAGCAGGCAGCTGGAATACGCTGTTCCAGGACTGGAGTCGACGACCTGTCTTAAACATTGCAGACTTTACAAATAATCTGAGATTGACGACATTTACAAATCTGAAACCACGTTACTAAAGGATTACTTAATAAAACAAATCGAGTAACTGAAAGCTTACATGGCATGAGAAAAAACCCCACTGTGCTCAAGGCTTGAAAAAACCCAGCGGAGAACAAACTGGCACAATGGAGATACCCCGTTACTTCTGTGAGGACTTTTCTCATCAATCTGCCTGAAATGTAACTCTTCACTGTCCTTTCCCAGGCAGGTAACATGGCACAAACATCCTGCAACTTTCACTTAACATTTGTAGGGATTTGAAGAGGTTAGAGAGGTGCTAAAGAGGTTATATCCAATCATTGTGAATATAATAATAATAACAACATCACTTTATTAACCCTTTACAATTTCTTGCATTAGGAATTTGTCTTTTCACATACCCCAACTTACTCTCCATGAGACACACAGACAGTGAGAGAAGCCTGGGGTCAGAGCGCAGGGTCAGCCATTGTACAGTGCCCATGGAGCAGTTGGGGTTAAGGGCCTTGCTCAGGGGCCCAACAGAGTAGGATTCCTCTGCTGGCTGTGGGACTTGAACCAGCAACCTTCCGGCCACAGCCACAGATCCTTAGCCACAGAGCCACCGTTCCCCCCGAATATGTTTTTTCTACTAAATTGCATGTTCAATATCGTAATCTAAAATAATTGTCCTTTGTTCAGAGCTTTGGCTATTAAAGTGATGTGGTATTTGTAAATAATCCCCTATCATCACCTTCTTCATACAGTTCAGACATGCTCACTGTCTCTAATACCTTATATTCAGTAACTGGATACCTTCACATAAACAAGTTCTTTTGTTCTACCAACTGAATAATACAGAAAATTAATCCAAATCTAAATTTAAACTGTACATTACCCCAGAAAAAAAAAACAGACAAACCTGAATTAATGATTTGGTATGAAATCAAAAGTTACTTGCTTTGATCAGGATAGGTTTTAAGAAACACCGAAGCTACAGTAACAATATTTGAATTTCAACTTGCATAGCTTACTTGGGTGGGAGTAGAGGGACACAATAAGACAGGGCACTGAAGGCAGGTTTAAAACTGAAATGGATTCAAATACGAGCGCTTGCTTTTTCATCGAAAAATGCCAGCTACATCTGTCTTTAGAATTCTTACTATTTCATGAGTCAACAGAGACAAATGTTTTAGATGCTGGCAAAACACAGCGTTGCGTTAGTGCCCCCGAATCCAAAGGAATTGGAGAGGGCGATTCGTCTCCCTTCAGTCTTCCACTCCTGAGCTGCGCAGGGAACGTAGTTGAGGTCAAACTCGGGGTCGGTTCTATCAAGATTCAGGGTCGGAGGCAACACACCGTGGTGACAGGCCAGGACAGTTATGGCTGCCTCCAATGCCCCAGCTGCTCCCAGCAGGTGTCCTGTTGCCCCTTTTGTGGAGGAGACAGCCATAGAATAGGCATGCTTCTGGAAGAGCCTCTTGATGGCGGTGTTCTCAGCAGCATCCCCCAGTGGTGTTGAGGTGGCATGCGCATTAACGTAGGTCACATCTTCCGGCTTTATACCAGCATCCTTTATAGCGGCAGACATGCACCTGCAAATATAACACAGTACGTTAATAAAAATCCCCCCCAAATCACAGCAGTGTCCTTTCTCATGAGGTTTGGTGCCAACAATCCTGCTTTTTCTATCGGTAGCAGAGATTTATACAGTAGCGCCAAGAGTGAACAGATTATATACTGTAGTAGCTCAGGTGGGTAACTGCGTCCGCATGCGTAGGCTGCAAAGGAACAAAGGTTTATTCCATGCTGAAAAAAAGAAGAAAGAAAACACATCGTTTCAGCCGTGGAGCCTTCTTCAGGTGTGAGGAAGACAAGGCAGTAGGCAAAGGTAAGGTAGCATAGGAGAACAAAGGCTGGGAGAGAGGAGGAGTGAGAGGCGGGAGCAGGGGACAGAAAGAGAGGCCAATCAAGAGGTGTGAAGTCAGAACAGGTGTAGAGAGGTGTGAAATGAGTGGAGAAAATTTAGAAGAAAAGTAGTCTGTCATTAAGAGAAGGGGGAAGGTGTGATCCTAGCTGAAAGGATAATTTTGGTTTCTGTAGTCTGAGTTTGGAAAACCGTCTTTGAGAACACAGACGGAGGGATTAGAGTGGTGTACTGTATACCTTATATACTGTATACCCATCGTGTAGAAGAAAAAACACATTTCAGAGGCTAGACACTGAGAAGAAATGAGCAGAAGCCAGGCAGTACCTGAACGCCCCGTCTCCATCAGTGGTAGGAGCAGTTATGTGACTGGCGTCACCGGAGAGTCCATAGCCAAGCACCTCTGCGTACAGCGTGGCTCCCCGGTCGATGGCGTGGTTATATTCCTCCAGCACCAGCACGGCAGCCCCCTCCCCCATCACGAACCCCTCCCTTTCGGGGTGGAAGGGCCGCGAGGCGAGTTTCGGGGCTGCGTTCCAGCTGGTGCTCAGCGCGCGAGCCCGGGCGAACCCGGAGATGGACAGGGGGCCGATACAGGCTTCGGTGCCTCCCGCGACCATCACCGCGGCATCCCCGTGGCAAATAAACCGGGCTGCGTCCCCAATGGCATGGGCCCCCGTGGTGCATGCTGTGGACACTGCATGGTTGGGACCTTTCATCTTGTATTTGATGCTGATGTGTCCCGCTGCCATATTGACCAGGATCCTGGGAACAAAGAACGGGCTGACCTTCCCGTAGCCCTTGGTTTCAAACAGCACAGCAGTTCTTGCTATCTCGTCCAGTGGGACCATCCCCATCCCCACCGCCACGCCGGTGGTAAACTGTTCCTGGGTGCTTAACGGGTACCAGCCCGAGTCTTTCATGGCCAGTTCTGTTGCCCCCAGGGCCATGACAGTCGCCAGAGACATGCTGTTCATCTCCCCCTTGGACACAAACATCTCCTCCTTGAATTGCCCTTCTCCTTCTCCTCTGGGCACGCAAGCTGCCACTTTGCACGGAACATTTTTATAGGCTTCTGAGTCCAAGCTAATGATTCCGCTTTCAGCTCGTATCAAGCGCTCCCAAGGCAAGGAGCTTCCTATTCCGAGGGGAGAAACAAGTCCTATTCCGGTAACCACAACCCGCCTGCGAGTCTCTGGTGGATAAGCAGTGCCGTAGTATCTCAAGCGGGGACTTGCACGGTAGATACAGTTTCTTAGGCGGAAGAGATTACATTTCGTTGATTTCTTTAACAGTTTTGGCAAGTTTAACATTTTGGGAACTGATGTATTTATTTGACTTTCAAAAACTGTGGGAAACACGACAACCACAACCGATTCACCTTACAAGAAAAAAAAAATCCAATTTACAGTCCTCCAAACGTCTACGATCTCAACAGTTTAAGCAAATAATACGTATAATCAATCATTCTTTATTATAGTTTTTTATATAAAAATGAGGCTAGAAATATTAATAATGTTGTCAGGACAAATTCAAGTCTTATCTAAAAAGAGCTCAATATATTAGAAAAACGCAATTACATTCGAGCTCTTGTAAAAAAAAAGGTGACTTTACTGTTTCTTAATAAGTCGTTCTATTGAAAAAAAAAGCTATTAAAATGCTTAACGATAAGACTTCACCCAGTCCACAAAAAAGCATAGAAACTTTGACACTACTCTTATACACGTCTTTAAAATACATGACAAACCACGACCTTAATTATTGCAAAGCCCGATCCTTTCTGCGCCATGTGCGTACACTTGCTGTTATTACAGCTGTCTAACTTATGGGCACTGAACAGCGTGCCTGACTCTGCGATGTTTCGCAGCTCCGTTATTGTGTATAGTTTTTCAAATAGCATTATTCCGCAACGAACACATAAATAATGTGAGAGGCAGGGTTGAAATTAAAACGCCATTTTAGAAGAATCATAGGAGCGAAACCCAGCATTTCGGTCAGGCACAGCCGAGGCAGCTCCTGAAGTGGAGTATTGCTGCAGTTTCAATGTGAGGAACCCGAAAGTGGAATTGGGGCAGCAGGAGATCATGGCCGGATCGCAGGGGGTGAATGCTTTATGTGAAAATCCTAATGATGTCTTTTTGGATGTCTCCAAGTTGTTGCTGACATATGCCGATAATATACTCAGGTAAGCGCGCAATATTATACGGAAAGTTAAACCAACAGTGCGCTGGTCATTGCTCGTTGTGTTGTGCGCAGTCATCATTAAGCAAGCAGGTAAATGATTTGTTTTTTACATCATAATAATATCATTTTGAGTGGTGTACTTATAAAATGACGCGTTGATAAATGTGTCTTAAGACACGCGGACAGCTGAAGACTGAGTCTGAAATCTTAGCTTCTTAATGTTTCAAGTCAGTCGACTTTTTCTATAAGGAAGCTTTTTTAAATTAATGCTAGTTATCGCTTGAAAGCGAATCGCTTCGACCAAAGTTGTTACTAATTTGAAGTAACTACGCCAGGACACTCAGATTATATTTTACATGATGTATGACTGCCGTATGTAATTCAGTTTGTTTCTTAGTATTGCACAATTAAGTACATTAAGTAACTCTTCCCTAACATGGTGTATGCATAGATTGTACTATACGTTGTATCTGCTGTATTAATCAACAGGTTTGTAAAGTAAGAGTAATCTATTGTTAATATAAAATATAAATACTAATGATAATATATAGCATTTTATAGTATAACACTATAATATATTTTAAATACTTTAATATAGTTACTGAACTATATTAAAGTACCGCCGAAGTGTCATACCGCAGTCCTGAATTTTCTTTATTATGTGATCCGATCAGAAATCCAAGTGAGGACAAGTACAGATCAATCCGAATTGGAAATCCAACGTTTTCTACCAGACTTTTGCCCATCAAGGGAGCTGTGGAATGCCTTTTTGAGATGGGCTTTCAGGAGGTAAAGTTCACTTTTAATTCATAAATGTGTCTGTACATTCAGCTACACAACCTCCTTCAATAAGGCTTATAAGAGTGTCATAATTGTGAACTTTACATGCTTTATTATGGATTTTTCATGAAGCTATCCCATCCATCAATCCATCGATTTTCTGACCACTTCAGTTTAGTGTTACAAAGATAATAATCATCCTTACACTTATATCGTGCTTTTCTGGCTGCCTGTCCAAGCAATCACCGGCCACAAGCTGGGACACACCTGGGATGGGACGCCAGTCCATAAGAGGGAACACACAGACATTGACACACTCACACCAGGATCCATTTTTTTTACAGAAGCCAATTAACCTACCAGTATGTGATTGCACTGTAGGAGGAAATCAGAGGGGGAACCGCAATTTCTATTTCTCAGACCGGCTATTTAATCTCACTAGCTCAATAAATCAATTGATGTTATAAAAAAATGACAAATTTTGAAGTGAGCAAAAAATTCTGAATTTTGGGCAAGTGCTCGTCGCCATTTTGTTGGAAACTCGCCTTCAAGTTCCCCCGAATTGCGCCGTGATGCGGCCCTTCCTCCTCACTAGTCACTGTAGTGACCAGTGTGTTCTGATGCACGAGCAAATAAATACAGGTTGTGGAAGCAGACATTTCACCTCAGAAATGTTCCCATGTGATCTGCAGGCAGAGTTAACTAGTAAGTAGTATGTGTTGGCAAAACGTCTCGAAATCGAAAGCAATATTTCTGTTGGATTAAAGGAGATGTACAGTATTCACAAGCCTGCTAGTTTACAATGTCACAGTGCCCATCATGTCACCGGAAGTTTTGTTGCCATGTTCTGAATCATGTTCTTGGAACTTCTGTCTATTTTGTGATGTAAATGGGAGTTTTTACGCGTGACTGTGTACATTTGACTTTTATTGCAGTTTGAAGCGTACTCATCACTGCTGATTCTTTCTAACCCCGCAATGTGAAAAACGCGTCGCGGTTCCCCCTTCAGACGCCGACCTTGCGTGCTTGTTTCACAAAGCATGCTTTGCTGTCGGGTTCCAGGCCGAGACGCACCTGGTCTTTCCGAAGAGCGCGTCCGTGGAGCAGCTGAGGCGGATCCGAGAGACGATCGCCGCGGAGAGGGACATGAGGCTCCGGGGCCCGCTGCCGGTGTCGGCTCCGGCTCCGGGTCCCAGCAGCACTCGCGGCCAGCCAGCAGCCGCCCCTGCCTCCGGCGAAACCCCGGCACCTCCGTCCGCCCCGCTCCCCGCCCCTGCTTCGCAGCCCACGCCTACGGTAAACTGTCGCGATGTTATTTTGGGGGGGTTATTTTTGCTGTTCCCCTCCCCCAATTACTGCTTTCTGTTATTTTTATTAACTTTCAACAAAGTTCACATGCGGTCATTAAAGAGCAGTACGATTAAGGGAGCAAAAGACCACTGTTAAAGAAAATAGGAAGATACAGATGCAAAAAGAAAATTCTCTGCGCTTCAATTCCCTAGTTGCATCCGTCCTGACTCCTCTCCAATTCCAGCATAACTCCTCTCCTTCCCTACTCTGTGGAACCCCTTAGGGGACCCTCCACCCTTAAGAAGCAATTCTGTTAACCTCAGTGGCAGATGCTCTATAAGAGGTGACCATAATTTAAGGAAATGAATTACTGCTTAATAATAATAATACTGCAGTTTGAAAAAGTGTGTATTCAGTTTCAGGTAAGCCAGAGGTAGACCAAAGTATCAAAATCCATCCACCCATCTTCTAATCGCTTCTTCCAATTTGGGATCGCGGAGGAGCTGGTGCTTTTCCCACTAAGCAATGGGTACAAGGCAGAATACACCCTGGATGGGATGCCAGTCCATTGCAGGGCACTCACTCACACCAGAGCCACTTGTTCCAGTAGTCAATTAACCTATTATGTTTTTAGACTGTGGGAGGAAACCCATTTGAACTATTTAAATGCCAATTGGCAGTGTGGCATAGTGGTTACTGTGGACTTGTGAGTTTAACTTCGGGTGGGGCACTGCTAATTTTACCCTTGAACAGGTACTTGCTTCGGTTAAAAAAAACCAACATGTTTGGCGTGCTCAGGTGAATCTCAAAGTGAGTTGAAATTTGTGATTGTAGAGAAATAGAGATGGAGGGGGAGTATTTCTGTGGCTGTGTAGAAAACTGCGCCAGGGCGAACAGCTGTATAGCTCTCCCTCATGATTGCGAAGCTGTATGACTGGAGGTAGAAGGAGGTGAATTCCGAGTCATCTGAGTCATTTTACTACACTTGTCATGTGACCAGAAAACGCAGTTGAGGAAGTAAACCACTGCTGTGGGTTGTGTATTAACATGTCTCCTTGACTTAATTGTTTTGATTCTTTTTCTTTTTTTTTTTACTCATAAGGATTCCAGAATGACGTTTTTTAGGACCCTGCAGTCAAATTTCCAGCACGTCATGTTGTACGAGGATGTTGCGCTTCAGGAAAAGGCTCTCGCCCACATACCAGCTGAGCGGCTCTGGACGGCGGCGAAGGAGAAGCTGCAAGAAGCTCAGAAAGCGGACCCAGGCAAAACAAACTTGTTTATTATTTGTACTTTGAAAGAGAAGATTGATGTTTCTGCTGATTAAGTAAAGAATGTAACAAGATGTGTTTTCTGAAAAACGCAATCAACTAGTTCTTAGTATTAAATAGTGATTTCTGGGTGCACATGCCTTAAAGGCACAGAACACGGAGAACCCCTGATGACCGATAAGCTCAGCTGAAGCCTATTCTTTTTTTTTATTGACATGTCATTAGTTCATATTGTGAAATGGAAGAAAAAGAACAGCAGTCGAGAGAGATGTATGGAGCTGAGGAATGCAGTGTGTCAATTTGCTAGTACCTGATTAAATGATACAAGTTTCTGCATTCAGCAGCTTGGTAGACTTATTGTCAAAAAACAATAAGTCAACTGTTCTTGAAGTATGTTTGTTGAACTAGAACTTCGATTTAAAAGTCTCAGTTACATTAGTAATGAGAAATCAAAATCGCTTATAAATTTCATTTTGAGGTGGCAGACACTCTTATAATTTGTTGAAAAAAACGTATTTGCTCAATAGTCAAGCAATCCTTGAATTATTCAGGCATCCGCTAGGGAGTTCTTGGGCTGTGTCCAGGCTTTTACTTGAGCAGAGACATTCCTCGTTCTCTGTAGCTGCTCTCTTTTTACGCTTGATTGCTCCTGTTACAGGGAAACTGAATGTGGAGGACCTGTTGTTGCTGGAGTTGCTCCGCTGGTTCAAGAGCGAGTTCTTCTCCTGGGTCAACAGCCTGCCCTGCAGCAGATGTGGTGGCCCAACCCAGGCTTCAGGCCAGCTGCCTCCTTCCACAGACGACCTGCGCTGGGATGCCCATAGAGTGGAGAATCACTTCTGCACAGAGTGCCAGCTGGTCAATAGGTTCCCAAGGTACCACACACCCCTGAATATCACCGAGTTGTGATCAAATAAGTAGAAATAATTTTCTTGCTCTACAGCTAAAAGGAGAATCCTAAGCATTGTTCATAAAGACGTTTGCTAGAAGTGTTAATGGAGATATCTAGGTGTACGAATTGGAGACTATACAATTCCTTTCTCATCTTTATCGTATTTCTTGACTGCATTGTACTGACTTCTTTCACTGTATTTTAAGTAGTGCCTAGACATCATAAGCTTTAGATCATAATTACCTGACACAACCGAGTTTTGGTTTCCACCAAGCAAAATCGGTGGCTGGAGTTGAGTGTGGGTGTTTCTGACCAAACTTCCAGGTACAATAACCCAGAGAAGCTGCTCGAGACGAGACGCGGGCGGTGTGGGGAGTGGGCCAACTGTTTCACATTATGCTGTAGAGCAATGGGACTGGAAGCGAGGTACATCTGGGACAGCACAGGTACAGCTTCATGTAGTGTTGACCATCTTGAGCCAAAAACAAAATGGTCTTGAGTTCTTAACCGTAGCAACGGTGGAAGATCTTTATGGGTTTATTGCTGTGTCTTAATGAATATTTGAGGATGTGATTACAGCAGTTCCATTTGTCCTTCCTTTGATGTTGACCATTGTGGATGATCTATTTCCTGATTTGATACACCTCTCACAATGTTTATTATTTAGTGCAGTGGTTCTCAAACTTTTTGGACCAAGTACCACCCCTAATCCAGCTAAAGCATCCAGGTGCCACCTACAAGTAATCATCTCATAGGAACCCCAGAAATTCTCAATGAGCAACATGAGCACGTGTGCACACACACTCACACATACATATAATAAATATTATATTAATAAACTTTATTTGATGTAGCGCCTTTAAAG